GAGATATCCCCAGTTCTGAGTAGTCAATGAAATCGTAAGATGTGCATAAGGTTTCCATTTTGCACTTGTTAAAAATGTGCTTGCGGCTGGGCACAGTGGCTCATGCCTGTAATCCCAGCGCTTTGAGAGGCCGAGGCCGCTGGATCACTTGAGGTCAGGAATTTGAGACAAGCCTGGCCAACATGGTGAAACTCTATCTCAACTAAAAATACAAAAATTAGTTGGACATTGTGGTGGGTGCCTGTAATCCCAGCTACTCGAGAGGCTGAGGCAGGAGAATCGCTTGAACCTGAGAGGCGGAGGTTGCAGTGAGCCAAGATCACGCCACTGCACTCCAGCCTGGGTGACAGAGCGAGACTCTTGTCTAAATAAATGAATAAGTAAGTAAAATGTGCTTGCTTAAATTTTTTTTAATTTTGTTTTTAAATTGAATGAAGGATATGCGCACAGCCAGTAAAGGATGGTAATATGGGATCAGTTCCTGTTAAGTCACCGGTGGACAGTTCTGGCTTCACGTGTTCACTGGTGCTTTTTTGTAGGCGCCTGAGAGGCTGACAGTTTAATTTTCTTAGGATGCCAAATGTTAAGGCACTTGTTTGACATTTGCAAATAAGCTGCTATGCAAAATGAAAACCTGATGGTGATCTTTAAAGCAACCCCAACCAATGAATGTCTCTGCAACAAACCTCAAGAGGACACAGGGTTTCTATTTTGAGAAATGAAATTCTGCAAAAACAATCAAAAAAACATTTAAAGTCATAGAAATGGTGAGAGTATTGACTTCAGAGGAAGCCAGGAGGAAGTTTGCTCAAACATCCCCCTCCCGTCTGCTCCTGATGGCTCCATTTGATTAAGCCAGAACATTTGTGGCCAGCCTGAAAATGAGCAAAGGGAGTGTGTCCAAGTTCTCATTCATTCACTGAGCATTTATTGAGGCCTGCTGTGTTCCAGGCACTGGCCTAGAAGCTGGGGAGATAAGTGAAATTAGACATGATTTCAGTCCACTGGGCTCTTGAAGTCTAGTTCATGAACTGTCTTTCTTGCCCTCTGTCTTCCTAGGTTCTGTTCCTCCCTCCTTCTGCATCCTAGGTGACAGCCTTCCTTTCACCCTTAGGTGTACAATTCTCCCTCTCTTAGCAATGATTTCAGATGTTCATTGAAGGAAAAATGGCTGCATGTTCCAGCTGCCATGCCTTCACTCCAAGCACCCTCCCACCTGGTATATCCACAGCCTCAGCACTGCCTATAGGACTCCTTCCTACACATCCGTGACCACAACAAAAGCCACCTCCTCCATGTAGTCTTCCCTTGTCACTCAAGTTAGAAATAACCTGCTCCTCCTTTCTGATCCAATAGCCCTGTTTTCGTACATCTTTTTAGCTTTGATTATACACCTACCTTTTGTTACAGCTGCTATGGTTGCCGCGGATATTTTCCTCGCTAAATAGGGGTGGGGTTGAGCGTGGGGCAGCACTCCCTAAATCCAGGGCCCATGTCTCATTCTTCTCTATCCTTGCAACCCGTCTCACACTGCTAAGGACATACCACATGCTAAAGAAAAGTTTGAATTGGATTTTTTTTTCTTTTATTTTAGATGCCCAGAATTAGATTGGCAAATCCCCGTAGTGGCATTCTTACATCGTGGGTCCATGAACTGTTCTTATGTTCTATTTATTTCATATTTTTGAGTCTTCTTTGTTCTCCATTTCCCATCCACTCCACCCATCCCACCCCACTCCTGTTATAGACACACTCTCTTGTTTTATTGAAGTGTGACCTTCGAATCTATCTTCCATAATGTTATTTGCACACTTGTGTAAGCTTGAGTGATACTTGCCATTGTTGGGATTGAATTTGCCTTCGGCTAAGGGAATGAAACACCTCCACTGGAATTTCAGTCAGGCACCAGCGCCTGCAAGGAAGTGTTTTGAGGCAGCGACTCTTGGAATCAAGGCAGGAGGTAGTCAGCAGCTTAGTCCAAGGGCGGCGGACTTATCCTGCTTCCGCTTCCGCTTCTTCTCCAGGCTCCCCCAACCTCAGAGCCTCCTTGTTACCTCATGCCCGGACGCTGCCCGTCTAGTAGAGCCTTTCTACACAGCCGCTGCACTGCCAGCCAGGAGGCTCCAGGGGGAATTCTTATGCCCAAGCGATTGCTGTCCTCTTGACACATCGCTATTTGAGAACACCCATTTCTGTACCTCCTGAATCTTTTGGCTTGCACCCCTGGATGTAGCATAGCACACTCTTGGCAAATAAGGCAATATGCTCCTCTCTTGCCCTATGATGAAGAAATGCCATGGGTCCTTAGATCAGCAATTCTCAAACTCTTTGGCCTCCAGACCCATGTACACTCTCAAAAATTACTAAGGAACCCAAAACGCTATTGTTTATGTAGTTTATGTCTATTTATATTGACCATATCAGAAATTAAAACTAAGAAAACTTAAAAATATTTATCTAATCCCCTTAGAAAATAGTACTAAAGCCACTACATCTTAAACATAACACTTTTTATAAAATATAACTATTTCCCAAAGCACGAATAATTTAGTGAAAAGAGCAGCACTGTTTTATGCATGTGCAAATCTCATTATTCATACTTAGCTCAATAAAAGACAGCTGAGTTCTCAGGTCTGCCTTTGCACTCAGTCTCGTGCCATACCACATGTCACATAGACTTTGGGAAACTCCACTGTATGCTTGAGAGAAACTGAGAGTGAAAAAGGCAACTAGTATCTTAGTATTATTAAGAGAGTGGTTTTGACCTCATGAACCCTCTGAAAAGATCTGTGGAACCCCCAGGGTTCTACACTTTGAGAACTGCTGCCTAGATCATCGGTTTCTTGATGACAAGGCCATTTTCTATTCATCCTTACAGACTGGGTTATTTATTTATTTATTTATTTTAACTTAAAGACCAATGTAATAGGACAGACTGGGTTTTAAACAGACTATGTAGTTGGCACTCAGTAAACCTTGCTTGAATTGTTTGGAAATGTCTGTGTCATGAGGGTTTATTGCTCTATCATCAGCATCCAGGGACGTTCTATACCCACTCTAGTGATGCTGCTGTTGCTGAAGGCATTTGGATTCTCCTTGGAGGCTGGCTTTTAGAGAAATTGGTAGTTCCGTTGAATATCCTCCGTGATGCCATGTCTTTGTTCTCTGAGAAGCACTTTGATTTTTGGGAACAGCCAGAGTGATGAAATCTGGTTTCTAATACGAGTAGTCAAATTGGGTAACACTGTATTTTGGATTTGTAAAAGGGAATACTGTCTTCCTAAAACTGGGACGGCAGATCTACTTTAATGACCATTTCTCTAATTTTACACATATGTTTACACCTATGCAAATGATATTTGTCACAGTTTAATAATTACATCATCATTTCAAGAGGAAAAAGTGGAAACAATCTAAATTTACTACTAGGTGACCAGTTAGATAAACTGTGAGCAACCATAGAACAGAACACTCTGAAGCGCAAGAAAGGAATGAGAAAAATTCTGTATGTATTAATAATAAATTAACTCCTAGATATATTAAGTGAAAAAGCAAAAGGCAAAACAAAGTATGTAGTATACTATCATCTGTAAGGAAGATGCCTGTATAGTGAGTGTGTGTCTGTGTCTATGTGTTTGCTCATGTATGCATAAGGTGCACAATAAACTGGGCATGTGGTTTCCTCCAGGGAGGAGAACTAGATGGCTGGGGTCAAGAGCAGGTGAGCAGCTTTTCCAGGACTGTCCTTTAGTACCTTTTGAATTCTAAAACCATCTGACTGTGACCTAATGAAACATAAACTTTAAAAGTCCCAAACTGAAAAGATGATGATGTCCTCCCCTTACAAAATTAAAAATAAAAACAATTTTAACACTTAGAAAACCTATTCTCTAAAAGAATTCTGTGTATTTCCTGGCCAATAACACAATTGTTAGAATAAATGTACAATGTACCAGGTGACATGTGGAAGGGGACAACAGAAGGGGGCAATGACAGGCACTTGTGAAAATATTCGCCTTTTTCTTAATCATGTCTTGTTCCTCTTCTCATCCTTGCTTCATTTCACAAATAGGGGAACTGAGTCCAGGTAGGTGAAGTGACTCATCAGTGCCACCTGGGCTCTTGGTTCTAATGCTTGCCTTGTTAGAGAGGGGATTTCCAGACTGCTCCTGCAGCTCTCTCTGCTAGGATGTGGTAGGAGTGAGGGGAGGAGAGGGTGGCAGATCCTCTTTCATTTGGCCTTAAACGTACCTCCCTCTTTGCCTCTCACCCTGAGCAGGTCTGGCGTCTGAGGCCAGTGAACACCTGTGGTGGTGGCTGTGGGACAGCATCTTCCCCTGCTCTTTCTCTTCCTTCTTCCCCTTGGCCACCCACACCCAGGCAGGTGTCCTCGCCAACCCCAGGACACTGCTTTTGATGTTTCAAAGGCACGTGTCCTCTTTTTCTGAAATTGACATTACCCAGTTCAGTATCACCTACTTTACCAGAGTACTTTGGGCTCTTTCAAATCAATTTCTGCTTCAAAGGATAAAGAGTTGTCATCAGCTAAGAGGTTCAAAAGTCTTTGGTGTAGGCTCTCCAAAATTCTGGCAGAGGTCAGGTGACCCTGGCTTTTATAAAGGAGTTTGGCATTCATTCATTCATTCATTCATTCATTCATTCATTGAAGAAATATGTATTGGACCTATTCATTGCATGAGGCACTTTCTAGGCACTGGGGATGAAATGTTGGCCAAAACAGATAAGGTCTCTGTTCTTATAAAGCTCACATTCACGTGATGAGAGGCTGACAGTAATCAAGCAAACAAATAAATGATCAAGGTAACTTCAGATACTAATAGATGAGAGGGCGATGTGACAGATAGGGGCTAGGGAGCCACCTTTGGACTTGTGCTGAATTCTATCTGAAGATACCTTCACTAAGAGAGAGGTGCTGTCTCCATGGCTTTTGAGGCCCTCCCCTCCAGTGGTGAGATTTTAACAATCTCCCCATCTGACAGGTTCTCATGCAGGAATGAAAGACATGGAGGGGAAGAGGGGGGCCAGCTCCCTGAGTCCTGTGTCCACCAGCTGCTGCTAAATACCTCTCAGAAACTCTGCTTCTAGCTAAGGGGACCTACTTCTCTCGGGAATCTCAATACTTGGAACAAGAACCTTGTGGATGGACCCTTTGGCAAAATGAATTGGACCAACCATAGGTTCCAGGACTGGAGAGCCAGCAATGCCTCCCTGGACAATCCCACTCAATTACTCTGCTCAGGTAAGACCAACTGAAAACCAGACCAATACAAATGGTTGCTATTCCTGTTTTTTGTTTGTTTGTTTGTTTGTTTTTGTGACAGGGTCTTGCTCTGTCATCCAGGTTGGAGTACAATGGTGTGATCATGGCTTACTACAGCCTCGACTTCCCTAGCTTAAGTGATTCTCCTATCTCAGCCTCTCAAGAAGCTGGGACTACAGGCATGCAGCAGCACACCCAGCTAATTTTTGGATTTTTTTTTTTTTTTTTTTTTAAGTAGAGGCAAGGTCTAGTCTAATATTGCCCAGGCTGGTCTCAAACTCCTGAGCTCAGGCGGTCCTCCTGCCTCGACTTCCCAAAGTGCTGGGATTATAAGCGTGAGCCACTGCGCCTGGCTTGTTGTTACTGTTAAATAATAGTCTGATCACTGAGTTCTTAAACAACTCCATGAGGTAGATATTCATATTCTGTCCATTTCACAGATGAGGCTCAGAAAGGTTAAGTGTTTGTCCTAAGATCACAGTTAGGAAGTGTCTGAGACCTAGGTCACTGAACTTTAAATCTCAGGCACTTTCATGACATCCTCCTTTGTTCTTCTCGCCCCTACCCACCTCCTCTGCCTGCCCAGGATAGGTACTTGCCTTTCTAGCCCTGGATAGACACCCTCATGCTGTGTCCCCCTTGCTGTAAACAGGTGTGCTCCACTCCCACCAGCCTCCCCCAGCTGGTGACCCAAGTTCCCCTCTCATTGCTCAGGGCTTATGTGTGTCATCTGCCCCACCCCACTCCCCCATACATCATGCCCTGTGACTTGGTGCCTCATCTTGTGTGATTCATGGCTGGTGCCCTGGGCACTGGGAAGATCTGGTTTCCAAGACCCCTTCCTACCCTCCATCCAGTAGCTGTCAAAGGGAAACTTGGTGAGGTCAGCTATGTCACTCAGAAGGGAGACAGGGAAAAAGGCAGAAAGGAAGGGAGCTGTTAGGATACCCAACAGTATTCCATCTGGCCTTGGTGCCCCCAAAGACTGTAAAACTTGGTATTTGTGTTCCCAGATGCAATTTATCCAAGGTGGCTAATAAATTGCCCTAGTGATCCAATGAGTTCCTCCCACCCCACCTTGGCTGCAGTCTCTGCATTGTGCAGCCAGCTCCTCAAGACATGTGGTCTGAGAGGTGCTATCTGCTATTGTTGTAACCAAGCGAGTTATAGAGAAACGCCACACTCTGAGATGAATTCAGGAGTCCTTTATTAGTTGGCGACAAGCGAGTTATAGAGAAACGCCACACTCTGAGATGAATTCAGGAGTCCTTTATTAGTTGGCGACCAAGAGATGGCTAGTGCTCAAAATTTTCTCGGCTCTGAAGAAGGGGCTAGACTTTCTTTTATACTTTGGTTTAGAAAGGGGAGGCTAGTTAAAACAATCTTACAGAAGTAAGCAAAAAGTTAAAAGGATAAATGGTTACAGGAAAGCAAACAGTTCCAGGTGCAGGTGCAAGGGTTTTAAATCTATCACAAGGTGATAGATGCTGGGCTTTGGGTGTTATCAACCGGACACAAACGCAGGGGCTCTGGGTGCTATTAACTGGGTGAATTCCTGGGAACTGCGGATACAGCTTGCCACAGTATCTTATCAGTTAATTGCATTTTAGATGTGCTGGGAGTCAGCTTGCACAAGTTAAGTCCTTGAGGAAGGAGGTTGGTAAGGGGCTGCAAGTGAAGGAGCCAAGATGGAGTCTGTCTGGCTATCCTAGCTGAGAGTCAATTCAGGTTAAAACAAGGTAGGGTATCACACTATAAGGGCTGAATCATGCAACTTCACTTTATGGGGAAAAAACAGGAAGGAGCCTGAATGCAGGTAAAGAGAGCTTTGGGTTTGGAGTCAAAATGTGGACTCCAGTCCTGGCTACAGTATTTGCCTCAGGCAAGTGCCTTCCCCTGAGATTCCTCACCTATACAATGGGAGAGTTTAAGATTCCTTCTAGCTCTGAGAATCTACAGATGGAATGTGGCTGGAGAGGGGATGGGCTTTGTGTCTCCATCCCTGAAGGCAGGAGAAATTCTTTCCCGGTGTGAATAATTCTCCCCTTCCCCACCAGAGCATGGGCACGCTCTCACGCCTGCCACCTTTTCCTAGTCGTAGCTCTGCTGGCCTTGCCTATGTCCTGATCCTGTCAACCCTTTCACGTGCCCCTCCCAAAATGCTGGGATTACAGGCGTGAGCCACTGCTCCTCCCCCAGGTACCTAGCACTGCACCATCCTGGCTATCTCTTTTTCTGGACCTCCTATCATATCTGCTAACCCTTGGTAAGAATGGTAGAGCTCTGGAGTGAACCAATCACATGGAGGCAGCAGAATGTACTGTGTATGAACACACGATTTAAAGTCAGAGAGATGGAGGTTTACGTCCGAACTCTGCCACTTATCAGCCCTATAACTCTGAGCAAGTGTGATCCCCGAGAGCTGTTTTTCTTTACTGTATAATAGGAATAATGATTGTTCCTATCTCAAGTCTATTTATGAAGATTAAACAAGATAATGAACGTGCCCAGTATATATTAAGTTCACAATAAACAGTAGCTAATATTACCATTTAGGATTCTGTAGAGCTCGTTTGCATGGGTGTGCAAGAATTACCTTCATATCTCCTTCATATTACTTTCCTCTCCTTTCCCTTACGCAGAGAACATCACCACCCTGAAGCCAGAGACTAACCCTGAAGGACTCAGCAGGTGGGTGAGAGAAGGGCTGGACCCATGAAGGAGGAAGGTGGGCTCCTGGGGAAGAGATCTGTGGGGACTGGTGTGAATGGGGCCACGACTATGGAGGCTAGAGCTGAAGAGAGGGGCTAAAATGGAGGCAGGAGATGGTTGGCCACTAAGGAGGTGGAAGCCTGGAAGTGGGAGAGCTCCTACAGGGGCGAGGAGACCCCAGGGCACTTTTGTGGAGGGTCACCAAAGCCAGCCAGAGCAGCTGGATGATCCTCATGTCTCTTGGTTGCTTCCTTCAGTCTAAGCACAGCAGCCACAGCCCTTTCTGGCTCCATTGCTGTGGTGGCCCTCATCTTGCTCCTGGTGGGTCTCTTGTCCATGACCCTGAAGAAATGGAGGCATAAGAGTGAGTTGAACAAGCTGGCCCTGGAACTGGAAATGAAGAGAGGAGAAACTGGGGGCAGAGACTGGGGTGTCTTTCCTATGGGCAGCCTTGTCGGAGTGGGGGGCAGGTAGTGGGAGGGTAATATGAAGGAGATATGAAGATGAGACCTCTTCTGTAGAGTTGTTGGGGACTCTGCACAGCAATAAGACTTACTCATCACGCAAGTTCTTCATGCTGAAAGCGATATACAGTATAAGCCAGCTGCATATATGCTTATGGTCTACATGCCTCAGCTAAAAGAAATATTGATGCCAAATAATCTCTTCTAAATCATAAACAAAATTATAAATTATGAAGTGTACTCATTTCTCCTGTGTCTTCCTGGGAATTTAACTTAGTCTCAGAGGCCCAATAGGCTGAGTGAGGTGGATTTTGCATTTTGAAGTTAAGCCCTAAATCCAGCAAACAACTGAGTAAAGATGGTTATTAACCCAACACAGACTGACTCTGAGTTTATCCATTTTTCTAGGACTATTTAAGAAACAACTGAGGCATCAGGCCAACTTTCCCCACAAGTCCTCGGTAAGGAGCTAGTCCAGTCTCACGTAGAGGGGGGCTCCTGGCCTCCTTGCTGCTTCCTACCTACCTAGACCCCACAGAGAGGGTGGTGGGGTGAGGCAGGGGGCAGATCTGGAGGAAATGTTTCTGAAAACAGATCTAGGGCTTGTGCAGCAAGAACTCAGCATTCTACTTGCTGTCCTGTAGGGATAGCCTAGTGCCTGGTTTTGTCTTTGGGAGTCCCTGGCGCCCAGCGGTCTGCCTCTAACCAGGGTTCTGTCTCTAAAGGATCTTTCCCGCCATGCTGATGCCATATATTCCAACGTGATCAACCTGGCCCCCCAGAAGGAGGACGACTTTGCTGTCTATGCCAACATGCCCCCTTTTCATCACCCCAGGAGGACATCGCCAGACCGAGTGGAATATGCCTCCATTGTATTCCACTGATGGGAAGCCAACGAGATGCTCAGAGTGGGGGTCAGACCTGGCCCAGCTGGATCGTGGCATACCCTTTGCTTTAGATTTATGTGTGTGTTAAAAAAAATACATAGGCCGGGAGCGGTGGCTCACACTTGTATCCCTGGAGGCTAAGGCAGGCAGATCATGAGGTCAAGATATCGAGACCATCCTGGCCAACATGGTGAAACCCCATCTCTACTAAAGATACAAAAATTAGCCAGGTGTGGTGGCACATGCCTGTAATCGCAGCTACTTGGGAGGCTGAGGCAGGAGAATCGCTTGAACCCAGGGGGCGGAAGTTGCAGTGAGCCAAGATCACATCACTGCACTCCAGCCTAGCAACAGAGTAAGACTCCATCTCTAAAAAAAATAAATAAATAAAATAAAGCAAAAAACAAAAAAACATAAAAACATATTCTGATGGAGGTGGATGGCTGGACATTTCTTCTAATTTATTAGACTCAAAGTACAGTTCTAAGAGGAAGGAGTGACATACAAGAGACACAGGACATGCTCATCCAGACCACCCCCAGCCCCAGAGGCATGGGGTGAGACAGACTGGCCAATAAGGGAACCCTCTGAGCTCCTGCCCCTCCTGGGGCAAAAGGGCTGAGGAGGGAGATTCAGACCATTTCAGGCCCAGCTGCTTTTGTCTCTCCAGTCTCGCCCTATCAGGAGTTAACACCCCGTGGGAGTCAACTTAGGAGCCATGCTC